TTGCTGGGGGGGGGTTAATTAATAAGCTGCTGCTGAACCGAGGCTCCCGCATCAGCTCCCAATTAATGAATTAACTAATCTCCCGAGGGAGGCGAGGAGCGATTTCTGATCCTGGTAAGTGACAAGTGTTTGTGCTGTGAGCCTGGTTTGGCGCTACAGTGCCCCTGAGTATGGGGGGAAGAACATCTATTTGATTAAAGTTTAAAAAAAACAAGCAGTAATTAAGTTTTTATAATTAAATAATAAAGTTTAAATCAATTAAAACCCCAGCACTTAGAAGAGGTTCCAAGTCCCTCTGGGTGGGAGGTGCTGACGTATTTTAATTGAGCTTTAATTATCTGCTGTGGTTGTGCTTATCTGGCTGGTCAGATGTCTCAGATTTGGTTCTTTTTTGATAAAGTGTGGCTCCTCATGCCACACAAGGGGACACCTGGAACCCTCTCAGCCCCAGAGTGGCACTGGGGCCCTGCCTGGAGCCAGGGTGCTCAGGCAGGTGTCCGCAGCTGCTCTTCCCTGCTTGGCTGGGGGCTGCCAGGGAGGCAGCAGGACTCGGGCTGCAATTAGACATGGTCAGGAAGTGACACAAGGCAGCAGCTGAGCCCGAGGGCCCTGTTTGCTGGGGTACCATGGAGCTGTCGGGGTGCTCACCCGCCTCTCTGCCTTCCCCAGCTCCAGAGCATTGCTGAAAAGGACAACAACTTGGTGCCCATAGGAAAGCCAGCATCCGAGGTGGGTGTGTGGGCAGGGAAGTGAGGGGTTGTCACAGGGCTTGAGGGGCAGAGGGGGTTGCTGGAGCTGTTATGTCCACAGCACTATGATGAGGAGGAGGAGGAGGATGACGAAGATGATGAAGACAGCGAAGAGGACTCAGAAGACGATGAGGACATGCAGGATATGGATGAGATGAATGATTATAATGAGTCTCCTGATGATGGGGAGATCAATGAGGTAAGTAGTGTGAGACCCTGAGTATGAGCTCCAGGGGCTGTCTTCTCTCCTTCCCTCCCTCTGTTGGGTTCTCGCTCTGGTGTGAGATCTCAAACCTCTTTCTTTCCCAGGTGGACATGGAGGGGACAGAGCAGGATCAGGACCAGTGGATGATCTGATTCTGCCACAACCACACCAAACTGGAGGCTGGGGGAGAGCCTTTGCCCCTCACGGCTCTGGGGGACAGTTCAGTGAAGCTCCTCCTGCCGTGGGTGCTGTGTGGGGCAGGGGGGTTCTGAGGGGAGATTGCCACCTGACACGTTGGAGCTGACACATCTTTTCTAATAAACTCAGTTTTCAAGAAAACAACCCCAAATCTGGTGTCTGAGGCCACCAGGCCAGGCAGGGGGTGCCACTCAGGCAAGTGCAGGGCTGCCCCCCACCATCCACTGGTGTGCCTGGCAGACCTTCCTGTGCAGTGCAGGCAGGAGCACTACAGGGAATGAGCCCCCTCCTTACCCACTGCGCCCCACCACAGACCACAGCAGCCACTGTGTTTCCTCCAGAGCCCATGTTGAGGCTGAGATGGGGGTTGGGGACCTAGCACCCTGCCAGTAACCATGGCCACCACAAGGCAGGAGCTCCTTGCTTGCTCAGTGGGTGCCGGTGTAGCGCAGCTCGGCGATCCCATCAGGAATGGCGCGGAAGTACTCCAGGCTGGCGCGGTGCACCTTGCTGTGGTACTTGCCGCAGGTCTTGGCGTACTGCAGGAAGTGGGGTGCTCCAGGGAAGAGGACATTATCAGCCAGGATGGTGGCCCCCTCAGCCAGCAGCTGGTGGCTCTCCAGCAGCCGTAGGTCCCGCAGGTAGCAGCGTTTGCAGTGATCCATGAAGACCAAGTTGGCATTCGTCAGGCCGTGCTTCTCCCGCAGGCGGGGTATCACCTCCTCCGAGGGGCCCACGATCAGCTCCACCTGTGCTGCAGGACCCTCAGTTGCTGGGGCAGGGTGTCAGGGTGCCCACCCACCACCCTGCTTCACAGGGTGCTGAGAGGTCCAGATGGGACAGGACCTTTCCATTCCCACATATACTACCCAGCAGGTGCCGCAGTCCCTGCCACAGCAGTCAAGGACCCCCACCCGTCTCCTCCCCTGTTTCGGCTGCAGAGCTGGGCTTTGTCCCAGATCCCGGGTGCTCACCGTCTGCTCACTGAAGCCAGCCAGGCGGATGACCTTCTCGGCCACGGCAGCGTGTCGGGGGTCCCCCTCGATGGTGTAGAGGCGGGCACCCGGGGGCAGCCCCTGTGCCAGCAGCACGGTGCCATAGCCACAGTACGTGCCCAGCTCCAGCACCCGCAGTGGTGCCCGCTCCAACAGCACCCGCTCCACGATCCGCCCTGACGTGGCACGAGCCTCTCAGCACCCCCGCGCCTGTGCCACCCCAGCCCTGGGCAGGGCGAAGGTGCCAAGCGGTTCCCAGTGCCCAGAGGGATGGAGGAAATGCCGCAGCCAGGTCAGTGATGCCACACCAGCAGTGCCGTGGCTGTGCTGGCAGTGCGATGGCCGTGGCAATGGTGCCACAATCATGCCAGTGGTACTACGGCTATATCAACAATGCCACCGCCATGCCAATGGTGCTGGCACCACACCAACACTGTCACAGCCACGTCAGTGGTGTCACGGCCGTGCCAGTGGTGCCATGGCTGAGCCCAGTGCCGTGCCCCACGTGGGGTGAGCACACAAGGGCGGCACTCACCTTTGTCGGGCCCCACACAGCTGAGGTGCTCACAGTGGTAGCACCACTGGTCGAAGGTCTGGAGGATGTGGTGGGGGTCCCCAGGGATGGCGTGGGCCAGCAGGTACTGGAAGGCACGCTGCTCCCGCGAGGTGCCGGTGAGCCGGTCCCGCAGCCAGGCCACCAGCACTGCCCGGTACAGCAGCAGCAGGTAGTGCCGGTACCGGATCAGCAGGGTGACAATGAAGGGGAGGAAGGCCAGGGCAATCGCCGGAGACACCATCACAAGCGAGAGAGGCTGTGATTTTTGTACAGTTGCTGAGTTGACTTGGTTAGTTTCCTACTTATCTTGGGAGTTCTGCCAAATGGGAAGTTCTGCACCCTTTGTGTCTACTATCAGTAGCATAAACTTGGGCCTAGGCTTTGAAAATCTACCCTGTGCAGATATTGTTGAAGCACGTGAGTCCTAAACCATAATGAGGCAAATCTATCCCCTCACAGGGGATGCTGTGGTAGGGCATCCTCCCAGGGTGCCAGCTCCCACTCATGGCATGAGTTGGCTGGAAGTACCTCTCCCTGGCTCCAGTGCTGTTGGGCCTGCAGGCCTGGGGCACCCCAGGATGCTGTGGAGGTCCCTGTGCCAGGGCTGGGGAGTTCTGGAGACCCATCTGCCAGAGTCCAGATATTGGGGTCGGTAGGGCTGGCATCCCAGGGGATTGTGCTGCAGTGAGGGGCCTTGTACAGCACAACCCCTTGCACCCCCCTTGGTCCAGCTTTGCTGCTCCCACCCCCCATACCCTGCTCCCCACACCCTGCTCAAGCTGTTGGTGGTGCCCAGCCACAGCGACAGGATAGGGCAATGGGGATAGCACCTACCTGTTCCCACACTCCAGGCAGGCAGAGGCAGGCAGTCCTGTGTGGAGTCCTGCTGCCACTCAATTATTGATGGTGTCACCTCAGCTGCAGCTGCTATCGGAGCTCTGGTTACCAGCTCAGTGGGGCTGGCAACGGAGACGGGGCCAGGCTGGGGCTGGGAGGTAGTCCTGGGCTGCACAAGGGGGCCTGGGGCCAATGGTGTGGCTGGGGTCCCAAGACTGGTGTGTAGTACCAGCAGCTGTGGTCCTGATGCTGGAGCTGAGCTCCTGTCACTGGGCACTGAGAACTTGGGGTACTGGAAACGCTGGTCACCAGGAGAATGGGGAGCCAGAAGCACTGGGAGGACTGGGAGCCAGAATCAGTGGACACTGTGGGTCCCAGGACAATGGGGGCACTGGGAGCACTGGGGGTGTGGAGGATTGGAGCACTGGGATCTGTTGTGGTTTAGGAATGGTACTCCCCTGTTCAGTGCCCCCACAGAGACCCTCCAAACCATGCCCATTCTCTCCCTCCCCTGCTTTCCTCTCCCCCTTCCCTCAGTGGCAGGATGGAGAGGAGAACTGGAGGCACAAAAGGTAAAGATCTCTGGTTGAGATAAGAACAATTTACTGGCTAGAAGAAAATGAACAGTAACAACAACAATACTAATGACAGAGGGCACAGGAAAAGAACAGATTCACATGGCAGACCCCCCTCTGACAACAGGTGATACCAGACAGCTCCCTCTGCCAACTTACACGACAGTGAGTTGGCCTATGACAATGACGTGCTCTGTACAAACTTGTGTCACAAGGACTGTGTACACTGGACATTGGGGCCCACAGGGGACTCTGTTATTTGAATCCCTATAGTAGATTCAACCTCCAGCACAGCTAATTCTCTCCAAGATATTGGGTACCTTGCTCCACAGTGTTCCACTTGTCTCAGTGTACTACTTGATCATCCTTGAGAGAATGCCTTTCCCTCACACTTGACAGGAGGTGCCTTCAGAGACTGAGAGTTTCTGTCCTCTTCCTGATGCCCTTGGCAATGTTCACATCCCAGGACAAGGATCCCAGCTGCCTTGCATCACTACCATCCCGTTCCATATCGTGGGCCAGGATATTCCAGCACTGGAGTAGCCAGGTCACCAGGGGCTCATCTAACTGGCAGCTGGAACCTTTTCACACATCTTACAGCTCACCCACGGACATGGACCAGGTGATTTTCTCTGTCCCTGCCTCCTCTTCCTCCTGTCCTAAGGGCCCTGCTTTGCCATCCCTCGCTAACTGAACTGATTTTGTCTTGGATTCCTTCTTCTGTGCAGGGGTGACTGCTCCCAGCAGCACGGGTTGTTTCCCTGGTTCAGCTGCAGTTGGTGTAGCCACGGTGCCTGCTGCTCTGTTTCTTCCTTCTCCTCCCCCAAGGGTGCTGTCTACTGACCACCAGTGTCCAAGAAAGAGTAGCCAGGGCCAAACACACTGAAGTAAGCTGCTCATCTCTGGAGTTGCCACAGCATTCTCCTTGCAAATATTCTGTCACTTTATCAGAGTCCTGTAGTTGTTCAGGGATGAACTCCCAAACTACTGGAGCAGAGAATTTCTCAAAAAATTGGCCAATTTTCTCACACATTCCATACCACTCATGACTATTCCCCCTTGGGACAGGTCTCTGAATGGCCTTCTTGGAAATCTCTGTTCTGCCCCCAAACATGACTCTAAAGAGTGTGGACTGCACAGAGACAGCAGACATAGCAACAAGAACATGCAACATGCTTTCCTTACCATCCAAAGGGAATTCAAAATTCTCAAATGCTGTTGTGATAGGTTTGAAGGAGGGGGGAAAAAAAGGGGGAAATCATCCTTCCCCTGTTCCCCTCACAGGCTGGGTACAGTTATTACCCAAAGGTAGTGCTGAAGTAAGGGCAGGAGAGCAGCACTGAATACACATCCCAGTGTACCCTCATTGCCCTTGATGTTATGATGTCATAAACTCATATCCCACAGTACAACAACAAAGAAATGCCGATCCTTGTCCCTGCTCTGTAAAAGGCCACCCAAAGGAGCATGTACAGGAATACAGGAACAGAGCCAGGGTTAGGTACCATACCCACATGAACCGACCAAGCACCAGTGTGACCAATGGCTCTGGCCCTAATACAGCAAATGCTGAGATGAAGTCTGTTTCCAACCTACTCTGGACAGAGCCATCGTTATCTTAACCCTCAGTGCCCCACGCTGGGTGATAAATAAGAACAGTTGTGGTTTAGCCCCAGCCAGCAACCAAGCCCAACACATCCACTTCCCCATTAGCAAAGTCAGCGAGAGAATGGGAAGGGTAAAAGCTGGAAAACTCGTGGGTTGACATTAAGATGCATTAATACGGAAAGCAAAGACCACACACACAAGCAAAGCAAAATAAGAATTTAATTCACCACTTTGCATGGGCGAGCAGGTGTTCAGCTGTTCCAGGAGAGTAGGGCCATGTTACAGTTATCTGGGAAGACAAACACCATAACTCCAGACACCCCCCTCTTCCTCAATCTTCCCCCCAGTTTATATTCTGAGCACTGGAAGACCTGGGAACAGGGGACACTGGGAACACTGGGAACACTGGGGGCATGTGGCACACCGGGAGTGCTGGGGGGGCAGGGGGCGGCGCACCGCAAGAGACACGTGACCGCGCGCGGAAGGCCGCGTGACGTAGGCCACGTGCCGTCCTGTCCCACGTGACCCCACGCGCGCCCCCGGCGGCAGGCGCGGCCGTGTGTGTGTGTGTGTGTGTGTGTGTGTGTGTGTGTGTGTGTGTGTTCCCCCGCCGCTCACGTGATCGGGGTGACTCGGCGCTCACGTGACCGCGCGCCAGGGCCGTGCCGGAGCCGGGCCCGCACTCGCCATGGGCTGCTGCTACAGCAGCGAAGCTGAGGCCTCCGACCAGGTGGGCCTGGCGCCAGGGGGACATTAGGCCCGCGGCGGGGGTGGCGCCGGGAGGGACGCTCGGCTCCACTCCCGGCTCCCCCGGGGTTGCCCGGTGGCGGGGGGGCAGGCGGTGCGCGTCCCCGGCGGGGCCCGGCCCTTCCCCGCTCCCGGGGCAGTCTGTGAGCGCTGCTCCCACTTGTCATCGCCTTCGTGTCACTCGTTCCTCGCGTGTATCGCGGCACCTCGCGTGTCCCCCTCGTGTGTGGGAGTTGGAGGCGGGGGCTCGGGGGTCGTGCCAGACCCTTCCCCCGTCCCGCTGCGGCTGTAAGTCCAAGGCTTCAAACGGTACTGGCGGGAGCAGCGCCAGCTTCTCCTTCTTGGGACAGCGTGACTGCCACGCAGCTCAGGGGCCAGGGCAGAATTGGGGCTGTCACCTGTCCTGCGAAACTTAATCCATGGGTGCAGCAAGAGCTCGGCTGGGACAGCCTGTCCCAGGGGAGCCCAGCTGCCTCCCACTTGTGTCATGAGAAAGGAAAGAGAAGGGTCTGGGCTAGAGTATTGCAGCAGCATTTCCCAGCAGGAGGAAGGGGAGAGGAAGCTTCTGGCTGGGGAGGAGTTGGAGATGCCACCAACAGTGCGTGTGGAGGAGTGGTTGCACTCCCAGCTCACCATGGGTCACAGGCTGAGCATCCTTTCAGGACAAGACAGACATGGAAGGGCTTGAGCATGTCCAGAGAAGGGAATGGAGCTGGAGAAGAGGCTGGAGCACAAGGAGTGGCTGAGGGAGCTGAGGGGGCTCAGCCTGCGGAAGAGGAGGTTCAGGGTTGACCTTCTAACTCTCCACAACTCCCTGACAGGAGAGTAAAGCCAGGTGGGAGTCTGGCTCTGCTGCCAGGGGACAAACAACAGGACAGGAGGAAAGGGCCACCGGTTGTGTCATGGAAGGTTTAGGTTAGATATTTGGGAAAATTTACCTAAAAGTGTTGTACAAGCCATGGCACAGGCTGTCCAGAACACTGTTAGCGTCCTCACCTCTGGAGGAATTTAAAAGCTGTGTAGACTTGGCACCTGGGGACATGGTTTGGTGGTGGCCTTGGCAGTGCTGGGAGAAAGGTTGGGCTCAGAGGGCTTTTCCAATTTTACTGATTCTGTGAAAGTGTTCTCTTGGGTGTTTGTGCCCATGATCTCTCTACTGGATTCTTGTCACAGCCCCTGTAGCACCATTCAGACAAACCAGAGGATCAAGGGCTGAGCTGCAGCTCCTGGAGTGAGTGGGACAATGTGCCCTGTGACTCTGGGAAACCCCCACCCCACACAGTCCCTGGGCAATGGCAGGTGGGGTTCCCCTGGCTCAGGTGAGCACCCTGCTATGCCAGGGTGGGCTGCCTGTGGGGCCACAGTAGGTCCTCATTTAACTGTGGGGTTTCATGCAGGTTGATGCTGGCTGCAGGCTCCTGCCTGCAGGATTGGCCACTCCAGATGTGCTGCCTGATTTCAGCCACACTTGCTGCCTTTGTGGCTGAGGGGGCTTCAGCTGGGAAAAAGCAAAAGAATTGGGCAAAGAGGTGCCTGGCAGAGCTGAGGCTGTTCTGGGTTACACTGGGATGCACAGGGAGCCCTCCTGGCAGGTGAGGGAAGGGTGAGACTCGCCTCATCTCTTGGGGTTAATGGTGCTGGTGTGGGGAAGACAGGGCTGATTTTCCTCTTGCCTTTTGCTCAGGAGGAAGAGACAAAGCGGCTGCTGGAGCCCGCAGCCAGCCCACCCAACAAGGTGCTGAATGGGGCGGAGCAGAGCTACCACAACCTCCCGTCAGCACGCACTGATGAGCAGGCCATGCTGTCCTCCATCCTCGCCAAAACAGCCATGTAAGCCTCAGGCTGTGCCCGTGGGGCAGGCAGCACACCTTGGGGACCAGCGGTGACCCTGGATGTGGCACACAGCTGGGGGGCCTGGCTGTGGGCCCCGCTGATCAGCCGTATGTGCTGAGGGGAAGGCAGGAGCTGTGGCAGAGCCCCCCATGGCCCTCTGCCCTCAGACAGCCCCCTGCCTCAGCTTTGAGCCCCATGGGGACGCAGAAACAAGACCCCAGATGTGAGGTAGCCCCTCAGCTGCTGGACTGGAAATAGGGGCAGGGTTTGGATACGAAAGCAAGTTCATGGGGATGTGGAGAGGGGGGCTGTTGAGGCTGCAGCACTGCATCCACTTCTGAGGAGGCTTTTCCTGAAATGCACAGGGGCACTGTGAGAAGAGGGCTGTGTCCAGCCTGGCTGGGAGGGCTTTGGGATGCTCGTAGGCCCCTCTGCTGCCCTGCCTGACATTGGGGAGCTAGTGGCCACTGGTGTGTGTCCAACATGCAGGGCCACAGCAGCCCTGAGTGCTACTTTCCTGTGGGGTGCATGCAATGGGGCTGCGGCAGGGCCCTGGGCAAGCGCCCAGGTCCTCTGTGATCCCAGGGCCCGGTACCAGGGCTCTCAGGACATCTGCCAAGAACACTGTCCTCCCAGTGGTTCCTTTTTTCTCCAGGCGGCTGCATGCCAAGCTCCCTAGAGCCCAGACCGGCCCCCAGCTTCCTGCAGCCTCTGCCTGCCTCTGCCCCAGGACAGCTGTGGGCAAACAGTCCCTGGCATTTCCTTCCTGGCAAACAGCCAGCCACTCCAGCCTGGCACACTTGTGTCCAGCTGGCAGCATTCATTGGGCGAGTTTGGCCCTGAGATGTTTGTTTTGGGGTGCTGGCTGGTGCTGGATTTTGTCTGCCCCAGTCAGAGGATGCTCTGAGATGGGGAGGGAACTCAGGGGGAGCAATGAGCCTCCAGTGGGAGCCACTGTCTTGTCTCTGCAGCAACATCATCGACGTGTCAGCCGCAGATTCCCAGGGCATGGAGCAGCATGAGTACATGGACAGAGCCAGGCAGTACAGGTGAGACCTACACTTCTCCCCTGGGGTGCCTACAGTCCCTTCACACCTGTGTGTGTCCCTGGGCAGGTCCCAGGGGTTTGGGCCTGGGGGACTGAACTCGGCATGTAGAAGGGCTGCGGCATCTCAGAGAGCAGGGTGCAGCCTGCTCAGGGAAGGCCCATGGCAGTGCAGGCAGCAGAGCCCAGGACAAAGGGCTTCTGTGTTCACCCAGCCCTTGGGGCAGATGGTGGGGGGCTGGATGTGACTGCTTCTGCTTGAAAGGTGCTTCTGTGGGAGAGCTGGAAGCTCCCTCATCCTCCTGCTGCAGGGGGTGAAGAGGGCCAGATGCTGGGACTGCAGTACCATTGCTCTCCCTTTCTCGTCTGGGGGTGCAGCACCCATCTTCTGGGTGTCCCCGTGTCTTGGCACGGTGCTGATGTTCTCTGCTCTCCCCTCACAGCACACGCCTGGCCATGCTCAGCAACAACCTGACGCACTGGAAGAAGCTCCCACTGCTGCCATCTCTGACTAACCAACCACACCAAGTGCTCGCCAGCGATCCTGTCCCCTTTGCAGACCTGCAGCAGGTGAGCAGGGCTGGGGTGAGCCGTGAGCCCTTGCGATGCTCCCCAGGGACACATCCTCATCCTGGAGGAGCAGTGATGCCCAGAGCCCTGACTGGACTTGTTAGAGCTGGGGGTAAAGCCTAGGTCAGGTTTAAGGCCTTGTTAGAGGCGGGAGCAAAGCCCAGGACGGGCTTAGGAACTCGTCAGGGCCAGAGGCTAACCACCTGCGACAGTTTCTTTGGGATAACCGTGAGTTTCCGTAGCCACCGGTGACACAGCCATGTCCTCGTGCCTGCAGGTGTCCCGGATAGCTGCCTACGCCTCCAGTGCGCTCTCACAGATCCGTGTCGACGCCAAAGAAGAACTGGTTGTACAGTTTGGCATTCCCTGAATCTGCCCCCACCACCGCTCATTCACCGCTTTGGGTTGTTTTTATTTGTTCCCCATTTTTTTTCTCTTTATATCCCTTCTCTCCCCATGCTGCTGCCACAGAACTTGGACAGATACCCTGTTTCCTACTAAATGCCAAGGCGCCCATCATTGGCACGTCGAGCCCACCTGCATTGCTTGAGGCTTTCTCTTCCTCGTGGGTGGGTGTGCATGGGGAGGAGGCTGTGTCAGCTGGACACTGCCTTGCACAGGGATGGGCACAAAGGGAACAGCAAGCAGGTCCTTGTGGTGCTGGGTCAGCACCGTTTGCCAGGTCACCAGGATGGGTGGGCTGGAGCCAGGAAGATGTGATGCTCTGCGTGGGGCCTGGTGGCTCCAACACCATCCCTTCTCCTTTTTACATGTTTAGACCTTTATTTTGGTGGTTTGTTTTTGTTTTTTTTTTTTTTTTAATTACTATTATTTTTTGCCACAGTAGATAAAGCCACGTTCATCCAAGTGCCTGTCTCCACTGTTCTCTGTCGGACACAGCATGGACGTGATGGAGGAGCCATGCCCTGGGGGCGGGGTACACACATCTGTCTGTCCCTTGTCACCTCTTTGCTCATGTCCTACAGGGCCAAGAGGACAAGGGGACAGGAAATGTATGATGACCTACCTTTAAGGGGAAGGAAGCACGTAAGATTCATAAATGCTTGTTATCGAAAGGAATGTCAAAAGCCAGAGGGTTTGCAAATAATCAGAAAGTTTTATTAGTAAATTACACACTTGGCATGGAAATTGCAGGGTACCTTTCTATGGATAGGTTTCCCCATCCTGAAGATGGATTTCTCATTTTCTATGCAAATTAGTTATCATGCACTGTCTGTTCTTTCAGGTCTTCCTGGAAATGGGTCAGAGGGGTTTAGGGGTCATTGGTGGTCTTAATCCCACCCTATAGTCCGTGCCCACTTCCTGCCACTCATTCCTGTGCTTATGCTGTACTGTTTTGTGCTTATCAGCAGGAACTACAGGGATGTTTTTCCAGTGCTGCCCTATCTCACCTTGCCCCCCTTCTTCAGCCACATCTTGTTCTTTCTCATGGCGTGTTAATATCAAGTCCTTGCCTATTACCAACAGACCTTGCTTGACTCCACAGCCGTCCAATTATCTATGTTTGAGACATACACATTAGCTCTATTATGTTCTGGGAATAGAATGCTCAGTAAGACTTACTTTGGACTGCAGTTTATAGGGTTTATAGAGTGAGCTTCAGTATGCATTAGCCCTTTATAATTGAGAGCTCTAAGGGTCTCACTTTGGATTCCTGTCTAGAAGGTTACAAGACAGTGGGTTTTAGTCATTTTCCATCCAGGCCACAATTTGAGTTGGTTGAAGGTTCAACAACAAAAATACTATTTCACTTGGGTTGCTACTCAGGCAAGAAAAATCAGTTTCCAAGTCCGTTCATTAAAAATCAGATACTTGATAAACATCTGTTAGTTCCTTGCAACAGAATATATCCAATAAGCTCAAGAGGGGCTTAGCCCAGGTGCTGTTTTTTGAGGACAAAGTCTTAACAAGCATTTCTCAGGTCTCGGTGGGGCCTGGGCGGTGGCAGGGATATGCACCACCACAATCCAGTCCATGCCTAAACTTCTCTGGGCCTCTACAGGATGAAATAGGGCTGTGGCCATGGGGACAAGGCCAGGATCCCCCAAGTGAGATGAGGCCCCACTAGTAGGTCAGTACACGTTTGGGGTGTGGTAGGGCCACATTGCAGGGCAGAGTGGGGTGTCTGCGTGTGACACACCGCCAGAGTCCCTCACGTGTCCCGTGACTCACTGTGGGCTTCCAGTACTCCGTGCCCTGCATGTGGCCTCACACAGCCCCGGGCCCGAGACCCACACTCGCACACACCGCCGCGGTCCCGTGTGTGTCCCTGCGCCTTCCCGGGAGCCCGGGCCGTGCTCCCGCTGCCGGGCAGAGCGCGCCCCCTGCAGCCCCCCGTGTGTGCCGCACCCGCCATTCGCGCTCCGCCCGCCTCACGGCCCCGGCCCGCCCGTGCCCCATGCGCGGCAGCGGGGGGCGGGCGCTGCCGTTCCAATAAGGGCGGCCGCGGCACCGAGCCTGCCGGCTTCGCTCTGCTACGGGACTCAATGCAGCTGGAGCCCCGACAGCCCCGGTGACGCCGAAGGCACTGAGGACGGACACGATTCCGAGCCGCGGTCACGGTAGGGGGAGAGCTGAGGCGGGGCGGGCCCCGGTGCTTCCCTCGGCGGGGGCTCAGGGCCGCAGAACGGGGCTGTGCCACAGGCAGGCAACAGGCGAAACCCTCGGGCCGGCGGGGCACGCCTGTGGCACAGCCTCCGTCCGAGCCAAGTTCAGCGGTGTCCCCTTTCCCTAAGGACGGGGGCGGGGGGCGGTCCCGGCCGGAGCGCTGTGGTTCGGCCGTGTTGTTCTTCGTTCCCCGGGACTTGGCGAAGTCGGAGCCTTCGTCCGCGGCGTTCGGCGGCCGCGTTACTCGAGGGTTCCTCTGCGTCCCTTCCTCGCCCGGCACCTCCCTGGTCGAGCTGGCGACCTGTAGGGTCCGGTTCCCGCTGAATCCGTGGCCGCGGGGTGTGTGCGTGTCGGGGGGAGTTTTTCAGGGGTCAGCTGGGATGTGACTCCAGTCTTCCGTGACATTGGGGGCATTCTCTGCCGAGCCCCCGGCTTTTCCTGAGCTGCGCTGGGGCCGGGAGCGGGTCTGTGCCGGCCTCACCAGCTCCCCGTCACTCGGTACCTGGGCAGGGTGGCGGCAGTGAGCGCGTCCAGGTTCGGACGATTCCTCCCCTCCATGGCGAGGCGCCGGAGGTTTCTGGGCCGTGCGCCTTTAACGAGCGCGGCCCCGGCGCGGTGACGTGGGGTGGCCCAGGGCCAGGAAGGGGAACCGCCGCCTGCCAGCCCCGCCGAAGAGAAGCTCAACAACTTTTCTTTTGTGCGTGGCCGCTGGCTCCCCGGCCCTCCGCGGCTTGCCAGCGCTCATGGCCGATTAACCCCAGCGCGCCGACGACGGCCGCGCGGCCCCGGTAAGGCCCCAGCAAAGACTTTTCTGCCTCTTCCTTGTTTTGTTTTCCCCGGGCGGGCGCGGAGGAGGGGGAGGGAGGCGGGGGCGGAGAAGCTCCGCGCGCCCAGCTCCGCCGCCCCGTCCGGCTCCCGGCCCGGCGCCTCGCGAGCCCCCGGGGCCGCGGGTGGCCGCGTCGGGCTCGCCAACATCCGGGCGCTCGGGTTGGGGGCTGCTCTCCGCCTCCGACCCCTCTCCGGGGTCGCTCACTCCGCCCGGCTGCTTCCCGCAGCCGGACCCCTGGCCTGGGACAGCCCGGGGCCCGCGGGCGCGTCCCCCCGGCACGGTGGCGCGTCGGGAGCTCCGGAGCGCGGGGCTTGCGTAACGCTGTGCTGTGACCGGAGCGAGCAGGGGAAAGCGGGGAAGGACAATGCCGCCGCGGACGCCGCCACCTCCGGGGCTCGTTCCCCGGTGCCCACCGCTCCCCTGCAGCTGCTCTCTTCGGGGACGCGGCTGGAAGGCGCTCACGGCCGCTGGCGGGCTCCCCAACCACTTTCCGCCTGCCATCACCAAAGGCGCGTCCTCACGGAGGCGTTGTCTCTGTCCCTGGTGTTCAGAATGGCCAGCGTCACCAGGGACAAGCCAGGCTGTGACCGCCGCAGGAGCGGTAGCCCTGCCCGTCCACATCTCACACAAGGCACCAGTGTATTTGCAGACTGGTTCTGGTAAAAACCAGCTCGACGCTGGTGGAACACGGTTTTCTCCGAGGCTCTACATCCAGTGCTGCACGAGTGCCTTTGAGTGGATTTTTAGGGAGAGGTCCTGGCTGTGGCACCGGCTGGAGGGACAGTAGTTGCTGAGTGACCCAGCCATGGGACAAGGAGCTGGGTTTTAGTCAATTTAGAGGGAAGACCTGTCCCGCTGAGGATCCCATGCTTCCCAGCTGGGCTGACGGCAGTGGGAGCTCTGTAGTCCCCAAAACCACCATGACTGGTTGTTTGTGCTGTGCTGAGCAGCTGCAGATCCTGACCAGGCTCCTGGTCTGTCATGGTGTGAGTCTCCAGGTGCAATACAGGGTGAGGAGCCCCCTCCTCATCTGGGTGACTTTTGGGTTCCCAGCAGTCTCCTCCCCTGGAAGATTCCCAGGGTGGCACTGGGGCAGCCAGCATGGAGACAAAGATCGGTGTGAAGGGGACCTGGCAGTGATCCCATATCCAGTCAGGGCAGCTCATCCCTGCTCCCCTCCAATGCAGTGATGCCCCAGCTCCCTGTGCCCCCAGCAGGTGGTTCTTTGACTAGCAGCAGTGGGAAGGGGAGCTGGCAGCGCTTCAGTGGCTTGGCCACTGCCTTGCCGGGCAAGAAATGTTAGTGACATTTGGAGGTGGGAGGGAGGGAAGAAGGTACAGCAGGAGAATGAGGAGCCTGAGCAGCGGTTTTCCATTGACCCCTTGTCAGGATCCTAACATGTGGAACGGACCTACCATCCTCCCTTGGTGGGCACAAAGGCCTGGTGCTGGGTGCAAGTCACTTAGTAACATAATTACTATACTTTAGCTTTTTTATTGCCCCCCTGCCTTTGTTGGTGTTTTTAGGTCTGGGCAGTGACCTGACAGGCTGGCTATGATGTCTCTTCATGGTACAAGATTTGCTGCTTTCCTTGCTTGGGTAAGTCCCCCCTCCTCTGCTGGAGCTCACTGCATAGGTGGACATGCTGCTGCCAGCACTGGCAGCTTCAGGGCACGATGCTGGGGCTTGTCACAGGAGGGATTGTGGCTGGAGCAGGCCTTAGGGTAGCCCAGTTGCTACTGTTCCTGGGAAGGTGGGTATTTCCAGAAGAAGCCTTGCTCACTCTTCCTGTTGAGGAAACAGAAATGCTGGAACGGCTTGGTCTGGTCATGGAAACTGCCTGGGAGATGGAGCTGAGCCTGAAGCACCTGTAGTGTAAAGGGGCTGTTGGATCTGTCTCACAAAGCACTGCTGTGTCCAAGCAAAAACTCATAAAATGGTTTGGGTTAGAAGGGACTAAGGGATTTTTAAGCTCATTCAACTGGAATGCCCTGCCATGGGCAGGGAGACCTCCCACTAGACCAGGTTGGTCCAAACCACATCCAGCCTAGCCTTGAACACTTCCAGGGATAGGGGCAGCCATTCCCTGGACAACTCTCACAGGGAATAATTTCTTCCCAATATTCCATCTAACCCTGCCCTCTGTCAGTGGGAAGCCATTCCCTCTTGTCCTGTCCCTCCAGGCCTTTGTCCAAAGTCTCTCTCCGGCTCTTTTGGAGCCTCTTTAGGCACTGGCAGGGTCTCTGAGGTCTCCCTGGAGGCTTCTTTTCTCCAGGCTGAACACACCCACGTCTCTCAGCCTCTCCAGAGAAGAGGGGCTCCAGCAGGGTGATAAATGGCACCTGTGCCAGACTTCAGATGTGGAGCTGTGGGGATCACGTTCATCTGTTCCCCGGGAAGGGGTGGTTTGAAGGGGTAGATTTATTTTCACACCCAGACCAGTTGTGCTGTCCCCAGCCAGGACTGGAGGTGGTGGGTGGCACAGCACAGTGTTGTCTTAGTTTCTGCCTTCTGACTGTGCCACCCCATTTCTAGAAGAACAGCACAAATGTTTGTCCTGATCCCCTCAATGATCTGTCCCAGCTCCAGCACTGTAGTGTCTTCATCAGAATTATCCATAAATGTGGGAACTGACAGTGGTCAAATAAGAGATTTTCAGGCCTCAGGCACTAGCTTGAGCCTGTAGGAAAGTCAAGTACACGACTTCCTCACTCTGGCCTGGGAAATCATAAGGAGGAATCCAAACAATCCTTGGAAGGTGAAAAACTGTTAGAAAAAGGTGGTGTTTTTCTAACTTGTTATTTACTTGGAAATAAGAGTCAAGGGGTGTTGTTCTAAATGACCAATCATATTCATTGTACCAAAGTGCTGTATAAAAAGAGTGTGTTTCTAATAAACCTTCGATACATGCCCTCCGATGAAGGCTTGGAGTCTCGTATCGTTATTTTGCCATCCCAATTTGTAATGATACACAAAGTGTGAGTATGGGGTGCTGTGTGCACATTTCAAACCACACAGCTGGGTCTGGGCTGCCTCCTGGAGCCATGGTCTCAGCCCCCAGGAGATAAGAGTCTCTTCTTGGGCAGGGAGGGAGTCTTGGGGTATTCCTCCTCTGGCACATGAGATGATGGGGTCTCCGTCTCCTCTGTGCTGCTGCACAGCTGGGGTCTGTGCAGAGCTGCTGGGTCCTGCAGAGCAGGGAATGTTTTGGTCAGAGTTCCTGTCATTTGAGACTTGTTATCACATCTAGCACTTAACATCTGGGTTTGCTCCTGAGATTGAAGAAAAGATCCGAGTTCTGCTGTCAGTGGCACAGGGGTTCCTGCAGCTGCACAGGAGCTTATTCATTTCTGTTGATGGAACAGCCCAGCAAGTCATCCTGAGTGGCAGCCTTGGGATCCTGAGGAAGCCTTGTGTCTGGAAAGCAGTGTAAAGAATGACAGTTTCTGCCTGACAAAGTGCTTCTGTTGCCTGGGGATGTCAGGCTGCTGCTGAGTATAGTGTGGTCAGGATGGAGTGCTGTGTGCTCTGTCCTGGCACCTGAGGTGGCTGGGCAGGGGTGGGAGGAATGCCTCCTTTGGGAATTGTGTTTGTTGCCTGGGAGCAAGGGACAACTAAAATCTACAGCCATAATGGGCATCAGAGGTGGGATGAAGCCTGGTGATTAAGGAGCTGGCAAAACAAATTGAGAGGGTGTGAGGCTGCCATGCATTGCTTTCAAACCCTTCCGGTGGGAGGCTCGCTGGCAGCCTGTGTGTGCTAATTACCTCCTGGGCAGGGTAAGGAGAGCATGCCTGTAGCAGGGATCTGCCTGCAGTGGGTGGGGAGGAAGGAGCTGCCTGCACCACAGGTATATTTAGTCAGACCTGGTTGACGTGACTTGCACCCAGCACCAGGCCTCTGCACCCACCAAGGGAGGATGGCAGGTCCACTCCCACAAGTTAGGATCCTGACAAGGGGTCAGTGGAAAACTGCTGCTCAGGCTCCTCATTCTCCTGCTGTGCCTTCCCTCCCTCCTGCCTCCAAATGTCACTAACATTTCTTGTCCAGCACGGCAGTGTCCATGACAGTGAGTACAAGAACTGACAATGTCATGAGCCTCAGTTGGTGTTAATTGAAATTGCTTTTGCAGGGTATGTGCAGTTTTGATGAAAAAACACTATGCAACACTATGGCCTGTGCAATTTTGTCAGGCTGAGGTGCTACCCACACTGGGTTAGCTAAACTATCAGCCCTGGCATTACCTTCTGTTATGAAACCTGATAAGTTAGTGTGACTACGAATGTGCAGGATGTAATATAGGTGAAGTCGGGCCTGGATTGCACACCACAAAGATCTCAACAACTGAAATAAGTTTTCATTATCAACTTCTTTCAGAAGTGAACAACCCAAATGTTTGGCCAAGTCTGCTACATAAGCAGAATCAGTGACCAAATTCAGTGTTACATTGGAATGCAAAGGAATTGTAAAAAAAACGCTCCTTCAAATCAATGATCAAAATTGTCCACCCCATAGGAAGCACGGTAGGTGAGAGCATACCAGACTGCAGTGCCCCCATGCTTTCCATTACTGCATTGATTTTTTGGAGATCCTGTAACAATCTCATTATCCAGATTTTTTTCCTAATTACAAAAACAGGAGTGTTCCAGGGACTGGTAGAAGGTTCAATATGTCCCTGTTGCAGTTGTTCCTGGGCCAGTTCACGAAGGGCGACCAACTTCTCTTTTGCCAGGGGCCACTGGTTTTCCCAGATGGGTTTGGTCACCAGCCACCTTAAAGGCAGAGTAGGGTACTGTGCGCCCTTCAACACAGTGGCCCCCATCAAAAATAAGTCCCAATCTGTACCCCCCATGCTGCCAAAATATCCAGCCCCAGAGGTTAAGTGGAGCTGCAGTGACATGAGGCTGAACTGTAGCTGTTTGTCCCTCTGTGTTTTTAATCAGCGTGGACCGTTGACTCACAGAGATCTTCGTTGCACCTCCCAGACCCTCAATGGCCGAATCTACGGAAGCCAAAGGCCGTGTTGGAGGCCATGCAGAAAAGGAGATAATCGTCACGTCTGCACCTGTGTCAATGAGGCCTCGAAGCTGGATCTGAGGTGAGCTGGCATTCAGTAGAATCAGGGTACACATCATCTGTGGTTGCTAACTGGAAATGCATGCAGTCCAGCAGACCGGTAGATCCAAAGCTGCCATCTCCATGACTCTGCTCAGCACTCCTAGGAACACATGACTTAAAAGGCACAAGTTGAACAACGTGAGTCTTTTCAGAGATGGTAACGGGGGGGGGGTGGGCGTGGAAACCATGGCATAATTTGGCCTGTAAAGTTAGCATCACTGACTCCTGGATGCACAAATACCGCTTGTAGGGTTGCACTAGATCTTCCCACAAGCAGTGCACTTAATCCTTGACCCAAAGGACCAAATGCATCCTCATACACATAAGGAGAACCTTATATACACATACATAAGAGAACCTTATATAAACAGCTAGAATCTAGTGTGACTGTTGCTGTGGTGTGTAAATCCAGCTCCCTGGGTGCTGCCCCTAAGCTGGCTGAGTAGGCCTGTACTGGTGCTGTGCCCATTTGTGTCAGAGCAC